TATTTACTATTTTTTTATATTTTAAAATTAACTTATATTTCAAACTCGTATTACTCTTACTATGTAAAATGTATTTTTTAATTTTTTTTTTATCAAAATTCTCATTCGAGTTAATAACTTTTTATATAAAATTTTATTTATTAATAAATCCGATTAATTTTTTTTCTAAATTTTAATTTTAGAATAAATTTTTTAAATAGATTGGTTTTTCTTTTTTGAAAATAAATTGATATAATATATATTATAGATTTTTAGAATTTTTAAATTCTAGTTGCATATATATATATATATCCAAAAGACTCGAAAGGGTATCTCGGATAATTTATCTCAATCCACTAGGTATTGTCAAGACATATAAACAAACTATTGAATTATCAATTTTATTAAAAATTAATTATACATCTTTACACATAACACCAACTATTCGCTATGAATTTTTTTTTTAACATTATAAAACTAATTTCTTTATAATAAAATAATTAAAATATTTTTTTTAAAAGAACCAACCAATTATTTATTTATATAGATCAAATGCATATACTTTCAAAAATAATATTCTCATTAGCATTAAATAAGAATAATTTTTTATTAGTTATTTTATTTTATACAAATCATACATTAATTGTAACTTTATTTTTTGGATACATTTTTATGAAAAATATATATTTTTAAATAAATCTTGAGTAATATTCTAGTTTAAATTATTACAAGTTTTTATTTAAAAATCAATGCATAAATTTATTTTTCTTAAAATCTTTTCAAAATAATAGATTAGAAATTTAATAGATACATAAAGATAAAACTCAATCTAGATGTAAAAATAGATTAAAAAATTATTTTATTACATTGACGTTAGTCTAAAAACGGATCAACAAAGGGTGTTGTTTTCCGAAAAGGAATTTAAATCGGATTACGAAGATGATAAACAAAGAAGGTAAAAATCGAGCATGTCGAAATCAATGCATAAAAAAGAATAAATCATGTTTTCTAATTTCTTTATAATAAAATAATTAAAATAATTTTAATCTAAAAATGTTATAATGAGGACTCTCTAATTTTAGTATTTTAATCTAAAAATATATTTGATATATTTGGTTGTGTTTATATAATGAGAAATGTTATAGTTTTTGTGATGTGGACCCTTATGGCTACAATTCCATGTCAAGAAGAAGTGGATTGCCAACACATTTTTATATTCCAAAGCACTTTGGGTGGGCACATAGCATAATTGGGATGCATGAGAAGATTGGAGAGGAATGGAAGAAGAATGAGAGGAAAAGGTCGACTGGGTTGTTTGAGGAGATGTAAAGGATGGAGAAGTTAGGGTAGAGTTTGATTGAATTTGCTGATGGATTCCAATTTTCTACCGAGGTCGAGAAGTTAGAGGAAGTGGATGCCTAAGTAGCGAAGTTGGTGGAGATTTGATGGAGAATGGAAAAAAGGGTTGATGCCCTTATAGCAACAGATTAGAGAGGTGTTTTATAGCCTTATGAGGAGCAAGACAGAGGTTCTTGATTCGTTAGATAATGAAAAAGTTTCTCAGCATATAATGTAATGTGACCTTGAACTCGTTGTGCAAACTAAGGTCTTGAAAGTTTGAAATTTTTTAGGTATTTTTATTATCTTAGGTTCGACTTCTTGATTCATACAAGTTTTGTTTTTATTTTCTTTTTTATCCCTATTTAGTAGAGATTATATAGCTTCAACAACCAAGTTTGGATGTCTAGTTTGCATTTCTAAATATGAAATGTATGTTTTTTCTTCTTCTTTTAGTTCTCCATGTCTCTGTCTCTCTCTTGTTTTCAATTTTAATCTATAATTGAATCATCCGTCTTACCTTTCTTCAAATACTCTCTTGGGCTAATTTTTTCATTAAAAAAAACTTTAAGAAACGGTCAACTAACAATTGACCCTTAAAAATAATAAAGATTAGATAATTTAGATCACATCTCGCTCAATCTCCGATAGTTTGAAATTCAAATTATGCATTTTGATACTTTGAACTCGAAATTGCCAAATTGCATATAATGGGGGCAAAATTTGATGAGATTGATTATATATATATATATCCGTTTGAATAAATAGTATGACATCTAAAGTAGATGCGATACATTTAGAATTTCATATTAATGATTAAATTTGAGATTCTCAACTTATAAAAAATTTAAAGTTAAAAAATTTATAATTGAGAAGTGATACCGAATGTTGCATAAAAAAAGTTCATTAATTAAGTTATTGCTTATTGAATTTTTTTTCTTCTTTCTCTCTCTCTCTCTCTCTCGGAGGGGTTATGGCTAGAGGTATCTTTGTAATGTTACTCATATCTAAAGTTTTAATGATGTTAATGACGCGAAAATAATGCATAAAGGAGGGACAAAAGTGCAAAGAAAAAAATACAAGTTGAAATTTGATAAATGCAATTTGTTTTATGAATGATGAAATTTATGCTATACATGCAAGTACAAGAAGCGTAAGATGACATCTTTGAAGTATTTTGAGTGATTGTAATTTGCACATGGAGCCATAGTCTAATTCAAACTTAGCACTTCCATAGAATTCCAAGGAAGTTTGTGAGGAAATTTCTCATGTTGCTAACGTTGTTAATTGTTACCACCGGTCATGCTATGGTTGGGAAGTAGGATTAACTAAAGCTGAAAATAATATTTGGTTTAAGGATGGTTGACAAAAATTTGTAATGAGTATCATTCAATTGGTTGTGTTGGTTACGGGTCAACACCGAGTGTTTATGAGATTCAATATAGGAGTGTTTATGAGATTCAATATCGAATGAATAGACGAGTTAAAAGATTTGACTAGTTTAATTGTAAAAATCTTAATTAGCTCGGATCCCGATGAAAAATTTTAATTAGCTTAATTCTTGGATTCCGATTATATATATAGGCATTTTTTGTTCAACAATATAGCATATAATAAAAAAATATATATAATTCTTAATTTTTTTATGGTATCGGATCATCGTTTATAATAAATTTATTTTTCTTAAAATCTTTTCAAAATAATAGATTAGAAATTAAATAGATATATAAAGATAAAACTCAATCTAGATGTAAAAAAAAATTAAAAAATTATTTTATTACATTGATGTTAATCTAAAAATGAATCAACAAAGGGTGTTGTTTTCCGAAAAGGAATCTAAATTAGATTACGAAGATGGTAGACAAAGAAGGCAAAAATCAGCATGTCGAAATCAATACATAAAGAAGAATAAATCATGTTTTCTAATTTCTTTATAATAAAATAATTAAAATAATTTTTTAAAAGAATCAACTAATTATTTATTTATATAGATCAAACGCTTATACTTTCAAAAATATTTTTCTCATTATAATTAAATAAGAATAATTTTTTATTAACTATTTTTTATACAAGTTTATACATTAATTGTAACTTTATTTTTTGGATACATTTTTATGAAAAATATATTTTTGAAGTATATTTTTTAAAAAAATCTTGAGTAGTATTCTAGTTTAAATTATTACAAGTTTTTATTTAAAAATCAATGCATAAAGAATAATAAATCATGTTTTTTAAGTACAAAATTTATAGAAAAACATTAAAAAAAAATTAACTAAAAATATTAATAAAAAAATATATAAAATTTTGAAATAATTTTGTTCCGTCCGATCCATCTACAGCATAGCATAGGTAGTAGACTAGTTGCATGCTAATTATTAAGTAGAATTACAAAAGATAGAGTTGCTTAGTAGAGTTGGAATGTTGAGGCCTATCATTCACATTCTAATCGTTATATTTTCTTGGAATGCCTAAATAATGAATGGCTCACCAAGTAGGGTCTAGTCAAAGTCATCACTAGCAGTCACATTCTCTCGGGGTTTTACGGTAAATTTTCCCCTATTGTATTGCAATTTAGCAATTTCGAACCCAAAATATTAAATTACGTAATTTGAACCCTAAGCTATTAAAGATTAGGCAAATATGATTTAAATAAACCAATCTTTGTTATTTCTAAGGATCAACTATCGGTTGACCATTACTTAATTAATTTTTTTTAAATGAAAAAATCAGCCCGGGATGTTTTGAGTACATGATGTTTTGTTTTAATCATGGTTCTCTTCGATCTTCATCCATGGTTATGGCTAGAAATTGGTCTGCTCGTAAAACAAATTCAAGCTCTGTGTTCTAATTTGGTAGTACCAAGAGGTGAAGAATCAACGAGATTGGCTCGACTTGTTTATATAATGAGTAATGTTATGGTTTTTGTGATGTGGGCTCCTATGGCTGCAATTCCATGTCAAGAAAGGAGTGGATTACCAACACATTTTTATATTCCAAAGCAATTTGGGTGGGCACATAGCATAATTAGGATACGGGAGAAGATTGGAGAGGAATGGAAAAAGAAGGAGGAGAACAAAAAGTGAACTGGGTTGCTTGAGGAGATGCAAAAGGTGGAGAAGTTGGGGCGAGTTTGATTGAATTTGCTTGATGGATTCTAATTTTTTACCGAGTTCAAGAAGTAAGAAGAAGTGGTCGCGTAAGTGGCGAAGTTGGTGGAGATTTTTCGGAGAATAAAAGAAGGGTTGATGCCTTTATAGCAACAGATTAGAGAGGTGTTTTATAGATATATGAGGAGTAAGACAGAGGTTCTTGATTCGTTGGATAATGAAAAAGTTTCTCAAGCATATAATGTATTACGACATTGAACTTTTGTGCAAACTAAGGTCTTGAAAGTTTGAAAATTTTTAGGTATTTTTATTATCTCGGGTTCAACTTCTTCATGGTAGATGAACATGGGCATATATATGTTAAACCTCAATATGGATATTCATGTAGGTTTTCCTTTTTTTTTTTTTTTTCATTTCCCTCTTTATTAGAGATTATATAGCTTCAAGACACCAAGTTTGGATGTCTAGTTTGCATTTCTAAATATGAAATGTACTTTTTTTCTTCTTTTTTCTTAATTCTCCATTTCTCTATCTCTCTCTCGTTTTCAATTTTAATTTGTAATTGAGTCGTCTGTCTTACCCTTTTTCAAATACTCTCTTGGGCTAATTTTTTCATTAAAAAAATTTAAGTAACAATCAACTAATAGTTGACCGTAAAAATAATGAAGATTGGATAATTTAAATCATATTTGCCCAAACTTTGATAGTTTAGAATTCAAATTATGCATTTTGATACTTTGGACTCTAAATTGCCAAATTGCAATATAATTGGGGTAAAATTTGCCATAAAATCCATTCTTTGGTGGTGGAGAGACCGAGTGTTGCTTCTCGTTGGATTCGATCTTAAATGTGGAGTAAATCAACACTTTACATACATAAATTTAGATATAAGTGTTGATTGGAATCGACATTACATATGAAAACGCTGCACTTTAACCAAAACAATCCATTCTCGGAATCTTAAATGAAACAATGCGTTTGGTTTCATAAACCAATTAATATCGACGAACACAGATTTGAAAACTTTAAATGAAACGGTACGTTTAGGTTCACAAACCAACTAATATCGATGAAATAGAAGTATGAAATAAAACGATGCATTTGGTTTTACAAGCTAATTGATATCGAAAAAATAAAGATTTTGTTTGGTCCGTTTAGTTTCATAAACCAACCGATATCGACAAACGAAAAGAAGATAAAACTTGATAACCATTCTCCCTCAAATTTGAGATTCCAAACGAGTTATCAATTGACAATAGTTTAAAAGAAAGGAAAGAAGACAAAGAGGAGGAGAACAACAACAACAAGACTCGCTCTACAATTTACTTTTATCCTTTAGAATAACCTTACCTTCCTATAAAGTAGATCGATAGCGTTTATTCTATTTTCCAATAACTTCGGATTTTCTTACTTCAAGTATTCAAATGGCATCATCCAAAACTATTGATGTAAGTGTTGTATCTTCGATTTATAATACTTATATCTCAATTTATCACAATATTCTCTTTTTATTTTTAATTTTATCACTCAAATCGAAATACCACATAAAAGTCCTAATGGTTTACCAAGCATCATTGAACCCTTTATTATTTTCTCGCGAAGTACTTGGTTACAAATTAAAGTGTCAATTTACTCTACATTGAAGACCAAATTCGATGAGCAACAACAAGTTTTGGCAACCACGAGTAAGAGTCGAACCCATGGCCTTTTGATATCGGACATTACTTGTATCTGTTGATTCAAAGCAATGTCCAATTGAGTGGAAGCTTCCCTAAATTGATCGAGTTCGACCTCGGCAATATGAGTTGAAACCACATCATCTTCATTAACCCTTTCATCGGCACCATGGTAAGGACTTGCACCTTGAACATCGATCACTTCGGGATGGTCGATCGTAACCGTCATAGTTATTGGTTGTATGATCGCCAAAGATGTAGGTGGATCCCACAAAGGAGGAACATCGAAACATTAGTAAGAGGGTTCGACGCTTTAAAGGGCCTCCGTGTCGAGACATCGGGAGCATCGAAAGAATGAGTCTCTTCTAAAGAAAAAGGTGGAAGCTCTAGCCTAGGAGGAGTACCTCTAATGATAGGGCCTATCGAACCAAGACGTCTAGAGGCATCGGTAGCGGTCTTTTCGGAGATTTATGCAATGGTTCAATTGGTCCCTCTAAAGATGAATTCTCCGGAAATGAATCGGGTAAAATGAGTTTCCTCTTTCTCCGATCTCGGTTTTTTTGGTAAACTCGTCAACGAGTAAAACCAAGAAAAATGAATTTTATCTCCTTTTCTTTTGAACTTAAGAATGATAGAAAGATAAGAAAACACACCGGCTTTTATAGGCAATCTACCCTTAGTTGGTGTCGATTCCATCTCCATCGATACACCAAGCAATTACCTGGAGCAACTCCTCTTTGCATGAAGAAGGAAAATTGTTTCTCCAAAACGCTAACCACATTGCGAGTGAATGTTGAAATCACTCCAATATTCGAGCGATAGCCACGAAGGTCTTGAGTATTGGCAAAGACTTGGGATTCATTCTTAGCAATTTGCTCTAGAAAATTCTTGATATCATTCCTTGTTTGTTTGTAATAGTCCGAATGAGGCGAGTATGGATCGCATTGGGTCGAACAAAAAGCTCCCATAATCTATGACGAGTCGATTAACGAAGAAACTTTGGTCTACATAAACTTCTTGGAAGGTTTTGGGTTTCTTTTAGGAGCCATTCTAATGGAATAGAAAGAAATCCCAAAACGAAGAAAGTATTTGACAAAAGACAGAAAGAGCTTTTAAAAAATTTTTTTACAAAAAGTAAAGAGAATCATAAAGAGTGCAAAATCATAGGATCGATTTTTTTTATATCACATACATTCAAAAGTCGTGATGATTTCACCTTTGAAACTCAACGGTTCGGATTTGGCAAAATGAAACGTCGGATTACTATATAAAATAGCCACCTTTAAAAAGATGAAGAACCACATAATCTCATCACATCTTATGGGCATTTAAAGATCTTTCCATCGGAGAAGAAACTCCTTGTTTCATCTCTAAAAAAGGAGCATGTGTTGGTATACGTAAATTTAAACACGTTTCGATTGGAATCGACATTACATATTAAAATGCTGCACCTTAACTAGAATGAGGCATTCTCAAAATCTTAATGAAATGATGCGTTTGCTTTCATAAATCAACCAATATCAATGGACACAGATTTGAAAGCTTTAAATAAAATGATGTGTTTGGGTTCACAAACCAACCAATACAAACGAAACGAAGTATGAAATAAAACGATACATTTGATTTTACAAGCCAATTGATATCAATGAAATAAAGATTTTGTTTGGTCTCGTTTGGTTTAACAAACCAATTGATGTCAACGAACAAAAAAAAGATAAAACGTGATAATCGTTTATGCTTAAATATGAGATTCCAAACAGTTATCAATTGACCATAGTTTAAAACAAAGGAAAGAAGACAAAGAGGAGTAGGAGAAGAACAACAAGACTACTCCGTAATTTACTTTTATCTTTTAGAATAACCTTACCTTCCTATAAAGTAGATCGATAACGTTTATTCTATTTTTCGGTAACTTAAGATTTTTTTCCTTCAAGTATTATCAAATGGCATCATCCAAAACTATTGATGTAAGTATTATATCTTCTAATTTATAATATTTATATCTCAATTTATCATAATATTCTCTTTTTATTTTTAATTTTATCATTCAAAGCGAAATACCACATAAAAGTCCTAGTGGTTTACTAGGTAGCATTGAATTTATTATTTCCTCATGAAGTACTTGGTTAGAAAAGAGTCCCAATTGAGCTAGGTGCTTAACCTTTACAGGTATCCATTCCAGAATATGAAGGCTTCTCACTAGAGGAACAAAAAGAGGCAACTTTGCGAGAAGCAATAAGATTCTTTATCTTTTGATCTCGTCATTGTCGCCTTATCTTCAACACTCGATTTTCTTCGAGTCCTTGGCTCTTTGTGTAGTTGAGAAGATCTAAAAGGGATTTTTGATGACCTCCTTCTCTTGCAAAGATTATTTATTAAACTTTAGAATATAGGCATAATATTTCTAAGTCCGAACTATTCCTTCGGTCGCGAGGTCCATCTAGGCCTAAAGTGGGCCAAGTAGGTTTCTTTCAACATCCTCTTTGTTTTGCAACAATTTTTTTTTTACATTCTTTTATCATTCTTTTAGGTAGTCGATCCCGAATTAACTTCTCTTTTTGACAAGAATCCTAACATCCCGATCTATCCATTACAACTAACGATCTTCTCAATGTCGAATTAATTGTTTATTTTCTTCGATTTTGTATACTAACTAAAGTGTTTTAGCTTTTACCCCTTGGGCCGGAGATGTCCCTCGAAGAACCATTACAACCCTTTAAGGAATTGTTTTTGGTTCCTCGGGGTGAAGTGGACTTAGGAGATGCTCGTCAATGCAATACTTAGGGAGACCTACAATAAATCAATAGCATAGGAACATATAGAAAAACCTATTTTAGCAAAGAAACACATAAAAAGGCCCAAGTCTATCGTCATTGAACTCCCTATTGGGATAGAGATAGAAGGTTCGAAGAGTCTCCTTCTTTCGATGCACTTGATATCTTGACACGGATGCCATTTAAAGCGTCGAACCCTCTTGTTAATGTTTTTGATATTCCTCCTTTGTGGGATCCACCTACATCTTTGGCAATCATACAACCAACACCTATGGCGGTGGTTTTAACTCATATTTTTGAGGCTGAACTCGATCAATTTAAGGAAGTTTCCACTTAGTCGGGCATTGCTTTGAATCAATAGATACAAGTAATGTCCGCTTTCGTTGTAGTAAGGCCCCTTAGGGTCTTCGAAACTCATTTTTTCCTTTCACCAAGTTCTCAAATCTCCTTGATTTTCATAATTCTCTTCCCCTAGACATCTATGACTAAGAGTCTCTTGATTTATTGAGAGATATGATTGTAACATCTTTAAGGGAAGAACAAACCATGCGAGGCTCTTTAGAAGAAAACATTTAAGTTTTTATGAAAGAAACCCCTACTAAAAGCTGCCACGAGTATTAAGGGAGGAATAGGCTAAATTGGATCAAACTAGGGCTCATTTAGATAAGAAGATTATAGAAACGAGGCAAAAGTTAGTTGAATTGGAATCGCTCGATCCGCACTAGAACCCTAAATTGTTGATGTCAATGAGGATTTGCACAAGTGGCAAAGGCATGACTTTGTATGTAGGCAAAGGCTTAGTAGGTCGAGCCTTATAGGGGCTTTATCTATTATTTTATATATTCTCGGGAATAGAGCTCGAAATAAATAGTTTTTATAACAATTGCTAACAATTGCTAATTTTAATTCCAAAGATGTGTCTTCCGAATTAAGTGGATGTCCGCATTATTTTGTGTTATCCTTGAGTTTCTCTATACATTCATCATAATTTTAGAAATCAAAATTCCACAATTTCTTTATTTGCTTCCCAAATAGAAGAAACATACAACTTCAAGTATTTACCATTAATGCCCCTAGCTTGTTTCACTCCTTGGATGCTTTCTAATTTACAAGCGTTCCTAGAGTATGTCTCCTTAATTCGAAAAGAGCCTTCCTAATTAAGGGACCATTTACCAAATAAATAGTCTTTCTTTCCAAAAAGTAATATGACTTTCCAAATTAAGTCTCCGATTGAGAAGTTTTTACTCTTAACTCTTCGATTGTAAGTTCGTGCCATTCTTTGTTTTTGCATGCAAATTCGTTTAGCGCTTCGATTCACTTGTAAATCTAATGATTCCGTTTGAGCATACATGGCGTCCGTATAGTCGATTCCAGAAATTTCATTTTATTTTGTCACTCTTAGTGATTGAGTCACAATCTCAAATGGTAACACGGTATCATGCCCATAAATTAAACGATATGGACTTGTGCCAATACTCTATTTAAAACCAACTCGATAGGCCCACAAGGTGTTTTGTAACAACTCGTGCCAATTTCAAAGATTATTGCCAATCATTTTTTGGATGTTTTCTTTCATAATTTTATTTGATGCCTCTCGCTCTTACTAACTATATCCATCTATCATACTCTGAATTATTTGAGAATTTTCCTAATTTGACAAAAGAGAAAGTGAATGAAATAACAATGTCCATAATGGATGGCTTGTCTATTGGCTTGAGCATAGTATAGTGTCAAATTGACTATATCAAACCAAATTCTCTTACAAACTCTTACATTTCTACCCTATTAAAGACAGGAGCTTGATCGACATGAGCATAACATAATGTCGAATAACATCTTTTTGGTTTATCGACTTCATGGGCTTCGCTTCTACCCAATTGGTGAAGTAGTTAGTGGCTACTATTACAAATGAATGGGGTGCTCTCGAAGTCGGGTTAATTTTCCTAATTAAATTCATTTCTCATCCTCTAAATGGCCAAGGTTTGATTACCGAATGTAATTCAAATGCGGGAACCCTAGGTATTTTGCCATGTTTTTAGCATGTATCATATCATTTTTCCATTTTGATATAATCTTTTTTCATTGATGGCTAAAAGAAATCATATCGTCGAATCATCTAACTCATTTTATCCCCGACTTGGTGTAATCCACAGAGACCAAAATGGGATTCTACCATCATTCTCAAGGTTTTATCCATATTAACACATCAAAGTAGTGTTCCATCAGCACTCTTCTTGTATAGCTCATCTTCTTGAAAGATATAGTTTCTTATCGGATGCTTCATATGAGAATTTTATCTTACTAGTTCGGGATTTATTAAAGTCGAAATGATTTCGTCTCTCTAATCGAAATGGATTGAAGGATTGAAATCATGTTGATTTCAACCAATTCTTCTCTTTGATCCAAATTTGAGAGTACTTTATCTTCAATAATGATTAATTCCTTGAATTTGGTC